GGAGAGGCTGCTGCAGTTTGTAGACCACGCAGGGTTGACACACGTACATGCGATTGAACAGGGGGCACTGTGCCGACACCGATAATAGCCTGATGCATGCATGTCAATGTTTTATAATACATGTCTGTGAAGAATCGCTTGCATCTGACAGGTGCGCACAATCTTCCAAGGTGTAATTACAACAGACTACCCCGAAAACCATTCAAGCGTGTTGTGCACCTAATAATGACAAGGAATGATCACATGGACGGTCAATGTCATCAGTCTGGAAGCTTAATAGTGAGGGACTGAGGATTTCCACGTAATGACATGTATAATCAAAGTAGCTATAAATTGTGCCTCAGCTGCGCTTCTTAACTCGTTTGTCATGTTCAAGGTGGGAGGTGATCCAACAACACCGGCTAGCAACAGGGGGTTGCATTAATTTTTAGCTTGGTCATGACACGTTTTGACATGCAAATGGGTGCACGTAAGAGGCACCCGAAATTGCGTTAGCCAGATTATCATAATACAACAAAATGTTTTCTGCCCTTTGTTGTCTTTGACAGTTGATTAGATACCTATTTTACTAAAGGTAAGTCAGCCCTAAGCCTGACTATAAGTTGGTCCTCACATTTTAAGTACTTGACTCTCGGGGTTTCCTTCCATTTCTTGGTGTGGGTAATTGTATATGGGTGAGGAAGCTGCTCCCGACTTTTTCGATCCCAGCAAAGACAAGGGTGTAAGGAATCAAACCGCATCCACATTGTGGATAAGTATGCCGACGGAGATGATTTTGGTGCTCTCAGCGCCCACACGTCATCCACAATCCGTGAATAAAAGAACATTATCCCCTTGTGGTAACATTGATTCCGAAGGCTTGCAGTCATTTTACCTCGAAGGTGACAATTTTGGCCAAAAAACTTGAAAAATAGTCGGCTTGTCAGACAGAAATACTTGTCTGGTATGACCATATGTGACATTCTCCACACAAATACGGATATGTGGTGGGCCCCCATAAAAGATGAACCGTAGGACCTGAGATATCCCTCGGTACCATGGAAAGTTGATGGAGAAGGATTAAAGGACCTAACGTTGTGTTGTAGATCCATGATTTATACCGGGCTCATGTTATTGCTTCATGTTGTCCAAATAAAGTACGGGCGGATGATATGATCTATGGACCTGAAGTTCCCACTGTCTTCCATAGTTATGACAAACAATTAATTGCTTCAAACATTTGATGCTCAATTTTTGCAAAATCAAAAACACCACGGATTCACTGTATGTTTCATCGTACAAACTAGCAAAACAAGTTGAACAGCTCTTGACAATAAAACCCCTAAAATAAGTGAAAATCCAGAAATTCAGCGTAAGAAGTAATTTTTAAACAAATTACTCCTTGCTTCGCCCTCTTAAAGATTTTGCGCAGTTACCATATTCATACGAAGCCCATCAATCCACCGAAAAATAAAATTAAACTGAGCTACAAATTGAATTGGTAATTGATGATTCGGGCATTTTGTCATTTGCTTACACAGTCCGATCGCCTGAAACGTAAGCTGACGAGGAGCTGGGGTGATGACCAAGATATAAAGTGGCACGGACACTTTCCGAGTAGGACTGAGTTAATCGCTCATAAATCCAATCAGCAACTCGCCAATCAAATGGAAGATCGATCATCCCCTCACAATGCGTTATACGCGCATTGGGTGGAGCTAGAGGTGGTCGATAATTACTCACCCCTACGCACTTGATGCCTCATTCACTCGATTATTCAACCAGCGATTTTATTCCTACAATATTTCAATCAAATCATACTTACCTATTTTCCACAAAATTTAGATGTTTTCTAAAGAATGCAAAATTTGCACAGATACTTTACATGGCATGTACTATTCATTTACACTTAAAGAGGATGGAAAGTGGCAAAATGCCCCACAAAATTGTACCCACCTTACACCTATCGATTACCGGTGGCCAGACCACGTGACTTCACGGGACTGGTGAAACGAGGTGGGTGAAAGACAAGCTTGGTTAGAAAATAGTATCTCCGATTTGATCCAACAATCATGCTTAATTTGGGCATCTGGCCGGACGAATTAACAGGCTTAACGATTGCCGAGTTGCATCCACCGCCAGTTTGACTGGCAAGAGTGAGTTACTTTCCTTTCATCATGTTTTACTAGCACGGAAAGCTTCTAAAATGGAATCTGTAGAAAATTTTACAATTTGAATGGATTTATTCACTACCAAAAAGGATAATAGAGTAAGATGCCTATTTGAAATGTGAAAAGATATGCTAAATCATTTGTTTTGGCATCATGAATGGTTATGAAACAGGTCGTACACAAAGGAGAGCAGATGAGATCGGAGTATTTCGTGATGCTATAATGTTACCGCTACAAGTAGTAGGATTTTTGAGCTGTTTTAATGAAACCATCTAAAATAACTACTAGAGGTTAATTTCAAGCAAACAAAATTTAGAAGTCTTGGCTTTTTTCTAATTGCTGTGTTCAAGAAAATATTGCTTGCATAATCCATTTTGCACCACTTTAGAACTTTGCTTAATACTACTTACTTGCGTCACCTTCACTTCATCTGGAATGGGAGGTTGTTTTTCTAGCAAAGTAATATTGGCTAATTCGATTAATGAAATTGCTGGAAGCATTCATAAAACACACAACTACATGCTACACTATAAATACTATCATGAATCGTGATTCCTTTCCCATTAAAAAGATCGCATTTATATAGTAGGCAGTGAAAATGCCTTCAGGCTCTTTTAATAGTCCAGACGACATGATTAGCTGCATTGACGAAAAGGACTTGACTTTTTAGTCCGTGAAATTTTGTTGAATTTGAATTAGACGTCTGCGTTGGAGTGCAACCTTGTGCACACCTGTCAGATGCATGCAATAGTTCATAGGCATGTAAAGCATGCACTGGTCTATCATCGGTGTAGGCACAGCGCCACCTATTGTGGCCTCCACAACTTTCCACTGCCTTTCAACCCTCACTTCATTCAAGCGTCTGTTCAATCGCATATGGGTGAATGGACTACAAACCAACTTCGACGAT